TGAGAGCCTAAATTTGTTTCCTTCAAGTTCTAGAGGTTGTAATGAAACTGCAGTTCTTAATACAGAAAAAAAAAAAGCACTTGTCATTTGATTATGAAACATCAGTTATATTTTATACCTAGAACTTCATAAAAAAAAAAAAAAAAAGACCGCATCTTCACGTGGTGAATGATGTTGATTGGGGCAAAGCTCTCGGTGGTGCTGATGATACTGATTTTGTTCATAGGTAGTGCTGGGCTTTGGGTTGCATTGTTATAGAATGTGTGGTATGGAACGTGGTTATATACGCATTTGAGCATTTGACAGCAGCGCCCTCTCCTGTATAGACGTTGAGCAGCTACATGCAACGTTTCATCCATGACATCCCCAGCTCTTGAGTTACTACCACATCTCAGAGCTCCCTACTCGTCCCGCAGTCGTGGCCGAATGGTTAAGGCGATGGACTAGAAATCCATTGGGGTCTCCCTGCACAGGTTTGAATCCTGTTGACTGCACAAACATTATTTCTTTTTTTTTTTAAAGAAGACATTGGATGGCAATCGATGTGAGCACGGACGCCGGACAAGGCTAGACCCTAAGGAGTTTTGCCCCTAAAATTGGCCTGTAAATGATAAATATGCCTTCTTATAAATAACTCCGCCGAACTCGTTAAGGTTCTTCTCAAGCTTGCATTCCCTACTTCTGGTAATTTAGCTGCTAATTCACTCACACCTAGATAAGAGTGACAACTAAACAAAAAAGTTGGCATAAAACATTAACTTAAAGAAGAGTCCACATAAATATATTTGCAATACTGAAGTATCCTAGCTAAATCTAGAATTGGAAAAAGATACCTCCACAATACTGCAGTCAGTCTATCATACATACAAGCCAAATTTTATTCAAAAATCGTCCAGTCTCGCTCTGGAGGCATGCTTTCCCCTTAGCACACAGGTGCGCTGCAGCGAAGCAAGACACAAAATCGCGATGCCTACTCCGCGGTTGTCGCTTCACTGCAGTATACCAGTGAGCGGTGAGAAGCACACTCCACGAAACTAACCCGCCAGAACAGAACGCGAAAATTATTGCGGAACTTCCAATTGTTAGAAATAGTCTCAAATAAAATATATTCTAGAAAATAAATGAGGTCTTGACAACTAAGCTTTTGGCAATTAAAAAAACACTGGGTTTAATAGAGTCGAAAGTACAAATTTAGGCCATAGTTCCCAAATTTACAAATTTGGGAACTATGGTGGTTGCATACCACCATCGCAAAATGCTCTTGCTCAGAGTCTTGCAGGTAGACTGCTGTATAGTTCTTCTCTCGCCTGGCTGGCAGATGCCACATCCGGTCCGACGCCAGCCAGTTGCATCTTCATAGCGCTGGAATCCACGTTTGAGACCCCTCATGCCGAGGAGTCGGTGTTAACACATGCCTTTAAGAACACAACATTCGTGCCCTCTGAGCTTCGTAGGCGACTTCAGGTATGCGCCCGGCAAAATAGAAGAAAAAGGGCAAAACACAATGGCACTCGCTTACACGAGTAATGTCTGTGTTTGATGCGAAATCAGACCGAGTTAGTATGTTATATGACGTAATATTCTAAAGATCTGCAAACTCGCACAATCCTATCGTTCCGGCCAAATTGCAAGTTGTTAAAATTAAGTTTTGGCGCAATGTTGGCCCGAGTTCCTCAGATTTTGGTCAAATGTAGCACTTTGGCACAAGTATCACATCACTGCCAATGGTCTGGAACTTTTGTATGCAATAGCTGAATGAAAGCATCTCTCACCTGTTTGAATTTTAGTCCCTCAGCTAACAGAACAGCTTGAAAACCACCCCAATGTGGAAATGTTTTACGCGTTAAGTACTGCACAATATTCATAACACTATCAGACAGAGAAACTGTTGGATCTTACACATGCCCGTTCTTTTTCAGTAAGTGAATAACTTTTGTAGAGAGGAATTAACTCTGCCCCTATCATACTAAGGTGAAGAAGTGCCTTGTTGTGAAACATTTTAGAAAGTGCATGCTTTCTTATAACTGTCACATTTTGTGGTCTGCCTCCTGCGTTTGATAAAACTAATGCACAGTTTTTCGGAAAAAGTTGCCCCACCGATTGTTGTCTATTAGCTGCTGCTGAGATACATCCTCTTGAGCTGCACAGGGAGCAACAGACTATGGCAAGAGCTGCATCTGGTTGCTAGGGAAGGTTGTAAGACTGCTAAGGAACGCCTGAATATCGATAAATTTTTCATTTAGCTCTCGTTCATCGCATTGGGCAGAGGAGTTAGCTGTTGGTTTAACTAGATGAACTCAACCATGGAGTACTTAAATTTATCAGATTGAACTAGTAAACATGTCTGACTTTTTTTTTTTTTTTTATAATACATGCAACAGTTTTTTGGTCCAGTCTTCAAATGCTGCTAGATAGGTTGGATAGTTGCTAAACTTGGCCTGAAGGAAAATGGTTCAGCAGCAGGGCTGTGGCAGGATGCTTGCCTCCAGTGGCCCTGCTCTTTGTCGCACATGCTGGGTTGTCCTCCCCCAAGCCAGAAAATGGATTATCAGACACATACAAAGAACAGGTCTCCTCCATCCCAAGCAATAGTGGCAGTATGGTTTAGTGCCTTACACAGCCTGCAAGACCCTTGTTTCGTGCTCAATGTACTTCACCCACGCTGCTTCCCCCCTCCCACCGTGCTTTGGAAAGGGCACACTACCTTGGTTTCAGTCACTTCAAAGGCCACCCACTTACCAGCGTCTACAGAAGCTGTGCTGCCCGAGGAAGTGACTTTTAGGCACTTCTCTGCACTAGCTTTCCCACCCGAAGCATTGCCAGTGGCACCGGCTGCTTGCTCCCATGCCTTTACAGGAGCTGTGCTCCCCAAATAAGAGGCTTTTGGGCACTCCTCTACACTAGCTTCATGCTCACCGTTCTCTGCAAAAGCTGAGACTTCCAAGAAAGTGGTTTTAGGCATTCTGCACTAGCTTTTCTACCCAAAGCATCAACAGCGACTTTTCGGCACTCCTCTGCACTAGCTCCACACTCATCGTTCCCTCCAAAAGCTGTGCTTCCAAAAGGAGTGGTTTTCGGGCACTCCTCCGCACTATAGTCCGTTTCACCTTCAGTCCGAGCACAGTGGACGCTATAGGAGCCATCAAAGCCAATCCAGCGTTGAGAGGGTGGCATGTGACCTTGAGCTCCAGGTGTTGCTCTGCCCAACAGGCAGGTCACGCGATTTTCTCCTGGCGCTGGATCGGCTGGAATGGCTTGTGGAGTCCACTGCGCTCGGAACGAAGGTGGAACGGAGTATAGCTTTTCCACTCAAAGAAGCTGTGCTCCTTGAAGATGTGGCTTTCAGACACTCTTCTGCACTAGCAAGAGGCATGCTCTCCCAGGTTTGCCCTACCTGACAATCCTTGCTGTGGACTCAAACACCACCAACCAGCCTGAACCCAGCACCATGGCTCTACTTCACTGGCACATCAGAAGGCTTGCCTCCTCTGTGCCTCCGCTCAGTCTTTCCATATGTGACAACTGGTTGGCTTCTGTCCAGAACGACCTCAGAGGCCATGCAGGCACCTGTTACAGGACAGCCTGCAGATTTTGACATCTCTGCCCTGCTCTGACATCTCTGCACCTGATCAGCAGCTGCTTCACAAGGTGCACAGGTACTCTCAGGGGAGGAAGACATAGCCAAGAGGCCACCCAGTACTTTTTCTCTCCGATGAGCTATACATGGCTTGCATTTTTGTTGCATCAGCAGTCATTACTCCGTACCATGCTCCTACCTTCTGCAGCATAAATTTCACACCTTCAAACTTGTACTTCTTGGCCAGAACAAGTAGGAATGACACTGCGTGCACTTATAACTGCCAGTCCTCTGAGAGGAATGGCCAGAAGAGGTTTCGAAAGAAATCAACACTTTTGTATGATAACAGCCTACCACTTTGTTGTTAGGTTGGTGCAAAATTATACTCTACCTCAGAAGTTGTAGGTACTATTTGGAAAGCCAAGGACGTTGGCACATGGGTTTTGAAAGAGCCTAGATTTTCCTGAGCCCTCAAGAAACAAACCAGTGCTCAGATCAATGCATTTGTCCCTGTGTGTTTCCCAAAGCTGTACGAAACATCCGAGACGAAGTATGGTTAAGAGGTCAAAGGAACCATTTTCCAGCTCCAGTAACAATATGACATGCAGATGCACACATTCTGTGTGCAGTTAATACCAGCGGAACCAATGATATCGAAATCAGAGTTGAAAAATGGTTCTCTAAAACTCTGTTGTCTTCTAAGAACGATGAAAAAGACATTGTTCTCAAAAACAATATGAAGCTTTGCATTGTCTGCTTATGCACCTCGCTAGGTAAGAATACACCTCGCAGTATTTCTCCAGAGTTAACCTAGCACCGTTTAGCGATGCAAATTTAGTAAGACCAGGTTTGGAGAATGTACTTGAGGTAGGGAGTTGTAGTTTCCTTGCAAAGTACTAAAAACAAATACTTCAAGTTCTCGTGAACACTGAGTATAAGGGTGATTGTAATTTTCATTCACCCTCAAAAGTAAAATTTTTGAAAGAAATTTTTTTTTTTTTAGGTTTATGTGCTAAACGCAACGGAGGGCACAGGAATGTTTAGACCACCGGGGGGATTTTTTGTTGTGCAACCGAAAGCTCACATTACCCACGGTGCCTTTTCTGCAATAAGCCTCCTTCACGTTGTAAACACCTCAGTCAACATTTTTTCTTAAGTACCTTGCAAGTGAATATGCACAGGCGCCCACTTGTACGGCTACTACTGTAGCCATCCTTGCGATCGATGTCTATATTTGTGCTCATCGGCACAGACGCCATACCTTGCTGCCGATCTGGCTTGGGTGGATACCGTTGCAATAGTGGGTGCTACTAAGGTGATGGTGTTTTTTTTGTTGCTCGCCAGAGAACACCATCATTTATAAAGTGCTTATATAAGAACCGGTGCGGCGTATCGAAATAAAAGGGCTTTTTCTTCTTTTTAGGTGTGGTCACGAGCTGGGCTGCTGTTACTTGGCCGTCGTCCGTTCCTAACGTGGTGTCAGAAGCTGGCTAACACCGTCACTATGGCGGAAGGTGACCTCCATATCCAAGTGGTTTGCGTCGGAGCGTCGGGACTTCATCCTTTAGCACCATTCACTTTCACCAGCCCGGCGGAATGGCCGACTTGGATTGCAACGAGGACAGTCAGGTATGGATCAGAGTTCTTTGCAAACAAGTCTTTCACGGTATGCACCATGCACTCTACTTCACCGTTACTCTGGGGGTATCACGGGCTGCTGTTTCTTCGTCATCGTCCATTCCGAACGTTCCAGCTAAAAGGATGTGACTATGTTCTGATTGTAGACTACTATACTCTGTTTCATTTTGTGTTGTACCGTAGGAAAGGCTACAAGCACGAGCTCCTTGCTCTAGGGCACATCTCGGCGGCACAAGCTCTCGTGCATCAAGGGCAGCTGCCAACGCTAATAGCTCGCACTTCTAGCCTTTGCTGCGGTACAGCATAAGGTGAAACAGAGTATACTCAATGTTTCCTGAGGTCATCTCTCTCGGATCTACATCTGCGCAAGCAGCCATCTCAGCTGTCAAGAGTTGCATGGCTTGCTATGGAATCCCGAACGTCGTGCGGACAGATATTGGACCGCAGTTTGCATCTCACGAGTTTGCAGACTTTGCTCAGGCGCAGATTTCGCCACGAGGCTAGGAGCCAGCGATACGCCTAGAATAACGGCAAATTAGAACGCATGGTGCGTATCGTGAAGAACTTGTTTGCAAAGAGCACCGATCAACACCTGGCTCTCCTATTGTACCGAGACACACCCGGTGTCAATGGTGTTTCTCCTGCCCAGTTGTTAATGGGAAGAAAACTAACTTGACTTCCTGGTCTACCAGAACGACTTCAGCCATCACTGCCAAGCCATCAGAACTTCAAGGCAAGAGATGCCGCAAACACGTCACAACAGGCAAACAACCACAATCGCCGGCATACTTCAAGTCCTCCGACCCCCTTGAAGTTGGGGGAGGACGTGTGGGTTAAGGACGTCAATTGCCGAGGCAGTATCCTCAGCCCCGCTCAGTGACCACAGTCATATGTGGTGGAAACGCCCAGGGGAACTCTGCAGTGAAACCGTCAGCATCTAATCCCCTTCTCAAAAACCAGTCAACAGAGGAACTGCCAGCCAGTGAACGAAATCCAGGACCAAGTTTACAGCAGTCTAGGCCTGGTGAGGGTCAACCAGCATCATCGCCAGAGCCTCAGCAAGAAGGGCTTCGGCTGAGACGCACACTTTGCGGTCGTGTGATTGGACCGCCAAGGCGACTGACTTATAGATCTTAAGGGGAGATGTAGTGGGCAATACTAAGGTAATGGTGTTTATCTTATTGCTCCCCAGAGGACACCATCATTTATGGAGCGCTTATAGAAGGAGCGGCGCGTGGAAATAAAAAGGGCTTTCTTTTTTTGGTTGTGGTCACGAGCTGGGCTGCTGTCACTTGGCTGTCGTCCGTTCCGAGCAGTCGCGACCGATCCACTGCTACTCGTTGGCCAAGCCGCCGAGGAACTCGAACCCCTCTTTGCGACAAAACTCACGCTGCAGGAAGCTTAGCTCCCGGTAGTAGTCATTCATAACCTGCATCTCGGCAGCGTGACTAGATTTGTTGATGCACACGCTAGCACTAACGCTGGTGTTGTTAGTGCCGACGTGCACGATGGCAACGTCAAAATCGGCAAGCCTGTCAGACCGCGAAAACAAGTTCTCAATCCTAATCCCACTAGATGCGGCGACCTCAATAGCCCTCCGGTCAATCGACGAGAAGTACTGGTTCGAGTAAGGATCACCGGCTACCAAAACACGAAGCACGTTGGGAGTGCGACCACGCTCGTTTACAACCCGATACAAAATCCAAATTAACGCGTTCAAAGCGCAAAATACAGACAATGGCAGTAAATACTAATGAATATGGTTAAACAAATAAGTAATCAGGCAAATGACAAAGGGAACGCTTCAAATGAGTGCAAAAAGCTTGCGTGAAACCAACCCAGAACTTGACCAGTCGCAGCAGTCGCAGACTCGGGAAGGGCAGTGACAGCGGTAACAGCCACACGAGGCTGCGACACCAGAAGTGATGTCACCCTCAACTACCGGTGTCGAAGGAGCCATGCCCAGACAGGGCAAGCTACTTTGACACCGGAAGTGACGTTTTACTACTTCCGGTGTCGAAGGAGCCGTCTCCGTGTGGACATGGCTCGAGCGACGGCCGTCGGAGCAGACACTCCCAAAGAAAATACTAAGGAAAAAACTGCGTATGCAACAGACGTCAGCCACAACGGAAATACAACGTTGGCTGCGCCGCACGTCGCCCGCTAAATTAGCGGATTTTGGTGAATTCGCGCGTCTCAGTTTTTGTCGGCCGGTTTAGTGATCTTTTAGGCGGTATTATGCTATAATATTTGATATTCGGTCTCTCTAGATGATACTAAAGAGAGTCGCAGTGTTTGGTAACAACCGAGAATGAAGCGGAGTTTCCCTTTAAAGGGCAACTTGGTCAATTTCAAGAAATTTGACTTAATGGTTAATTATATATCCCGGGGTAGGAAGTCACGGTTCTATTTAATTACTTTTCGAAAAAGTGTAATATTTTTTGCGCAATCTTCATTTAAAGTTTACCACAAACCAAAACCGAAAGCTTGTCTATGGCAGGCAACATTGCTGCTGTGCATCAGCTACACGCTCTAACCACGCGGTACCAATTTCGTCGTTGCGTACCAGGCAACCGGGCGCAGCTCGACGCGAAGGCAAAAGTCCTTTGCTATGACTGGTCTTCCGCTACACCCGACGACGCCTGCACTGCCACGGCTGCAGCTTGTGCTTTAGCTCAGAAAAGCACTACTTTTCCCATGGGCTTGCTTTAAAAACATTGGCAGAACGTGAAGTTCAGTAAATCGCACGTAAATATGTTGCGACGGGCTTGTAGAAGTATGCCATGCTAACAGCCCAGTCAATTCAAACATGCCATGCTCAACTGCCTCTCTCGCACGGGAGCACATGAGCGTTCGTGGCGTATGCGCATTCCAAAAATCGCGTGGCCAATGATGAGCGGATCTGCTTTGCTCGAAAAAGTACAAAACAAGCAAACAAATTTTCCTGAGCATGACGTAGGTAGTGCAGGGTGGGCTGCGCCGGCATGGTTGTATGGACTGGGCTGTTGGCTATCCGCAGCTCGCTTGCTGGGATTAGCAGATTTTGGGAATTCCAGGCACCTCAAAATTTGTTGGTCAGTTTCATCAATTTTTAGGCAGAATTTGATTGAAATATGTGGCTTGTGGCTTTTTTTAGGCGATAATGAAGAGAACTGCATTGTTTTCTTAATGTTGAAAATGAACCGGAGCTGCCCTTTAATTGAGAAATATACCTGACAGCTATTTTTGGCTTCTCATTGGCTTTCTAAACCTTCCGTATGCTTCTATAATCTGCGAAATTCAGGAAAAGGCTAATTAACTTTGTGAACAACACGCTCTGTTTCTACAGGGTGATTCAAGGAGACGCCTGGCTCTTTGAATCAACCGCAAAATTAACCTATCACGCTACTACTTTGTGCAGCGTTGCCCACAGATGTTGCTTTTTTTTTGTTGTAAAATTTGCAAAGAGTGAACTTGCCTGAGATAAAAGTAAAGAAAGAAAAAAAGCTTAGCTCCTATAGAAACACAGCGGAAGCCGCCGGTCTTCAAACAACACGGCGCCATTTCGCACGGGAGACAAGAGATGGCGCAAGCGGTCGCGATGCCAACTGCCGCCAACGAACGACCATACGACGCGACGACGGTGAGAGCCGGCGTTTCTAGCAGACAAGGAACTTCACTTCCTCGTTGTTACCGTACCTGTTTTTGTTTCTGCGACTGTCGCCGCCTGCGCAACGCGCGCCGCTTTTGAGTCGAAAAGATTGTCTGTAAAAACGCCGGCTCTCGGCGCCGTATGTTCGTTCGTTGGTGGCGTTCGTTGCACCATCTCTTGTCTCCCGTGCGAAACGGCGCCGTGTTGTTTCAAGACCGGTGGCGTCGCTGCATTTTCTTAGGAGCTAAGCCTTTTTCTTTCTTTACTTTTTCCTCAGGTAATTTCGCTCTTTGTAAATTTTACAAAAAAAAAGAAAGTACCATCTGTGGGCGACGCTGCACAAAGTCGTAGCGCGAAAGGTTAAGAAACCGAATTTCGCGGTCAATTTAAAGAGCCTGGCGTCTCCTTGAATCACTTTGTATTTGCAGTAGGGGAACTGCTGCACCACTTGCATCAACCTGTGCCAAAACAAATAACCTGCTACATGCTGCTCCTGCATTGGTGCACAGTTTGTGCCAAAAGGGAGCTGTTCTCAAAAAAGAAACAAAGTGTGGCACGTGGCATTGTTGATGAGGCCACTAAATATAAAGTACAGCTGTGTTTTTTTTTCCGGATGTTTGAGTACTGTGTGCAAAGAGTAGGGTTGCACAAATATTCAAATGTTAGAATAGTAGTTTGAAATACAATGTAATTTGATATTCAATTCAAAATGAGCTGCAATGTTCATACTTCCCAAGAGGTTGTTGGGAGTGGGTTAGCCCCTTTGAGTGTGCTTTTCGTCGAGCACCGGTGCGCTGCGGAGAAGCAATACCTGCAGAGCTGACACTGCAATCTTGCGACTCGCTTTGCCGCAGCGCAGTTTCACGCTTAGGCTATAAACACAACTAAAAAAAAAGCGGTACGATGCGCACGTGTGCTTGGTATATTAAAAAAAAAGAAAGAAAAGAAAGGACACGAGATTGTTGATATTTACATTACAGTAAAATTCTCAAAATTTAACTGTGGCTATTATGCAAGGGTATGTGTTAGGCTGCAATGTTGTAACAACCTGCGATCATTTGTGCTTGTTTTTTCCTTTTTAATTCAGAATCGAAGGTATTTGCGAGGATATTTATAAATTCCCTTCATTAGTTATGGCTGGGCTCCTTTATAGGTCTAATTTTATGTCAAATCTGTCATTTACTTGTCATCCCGATGTAAGTATGGGACTTTCTGAAGGCACAGTCTATAAATATAGCTAGATTAAATTTAAGAGAGCTCATAAGTGGGCAATTAGAAGCTTAGGAACAACCTTTGCCGGTTCAGCTAAATTTTTGTTTAAGCATGATGTAACAGTAGTGAAAGGAGTAGAGAAAGGCACAGCAACTATTCAGTATTCAATTAAAAAAATATTCGACCAAAACCACTTTGCACTTTAATTTTGCTTTGAACCCAAAATGTGTTTGCGCACGCCTAACTACTACAAAATAGAGACCAGGAGACACGTTCAGCACGAAAGTGTCTGTTTGGTGTCGAACTTGCAACAATTACGTCACCGTGATACAAACCCTCCAAAGTAGCCAAAAACATCTTTTTACGTCAAACACGGACCGAAGACGCCATCGGTACTCCTAATAGGTTAATTGAAATGTCTGCAAAATTACCCACGTATGATTGTTCAATAAATAAATAAATATCTGTAGAGGCCAGGTCCTCTGTTGGTACGACACTTTAAATAGTCTCTCAACACTCCAACAACTGCGGTTTTTAAATTTTTTGACTTGAAGGCTCGAAATTCTCTGCTTCAAAAGTGGGAATCTCTTCTCCAAAACCAGTTGTTTCCTGCTACAAGAGCTGCTCAAAATCACCACTTGTCAGTCCCACCATTGTATTTGAGTTCAGGCTTTGCGAGTAGTGCTGGTCATTTAAGGGTAGATTGTTCTGTCTAGGACGGGAAACATTGCTTTGTTCCTTCATGATCTTGTTGACAATGAAGAAGCTCACGAGGACATTTCTTCCGGTGTGTCCTGCAGATCTCGGCTGGATTCGTGCGGTTGCGTACTGAGGGAATGGCATCTGCTATTCCTACTGACAAGGTCCGGAAGGAGGTGAGACTACTGCGGAGGAGGAGGCTAGCTGCATGTCTGCAAGGTGAGTGATGCAGCTGTTTCCTTCGTCCAGACTGCTCTCAAGAGAAGACATAGCTGCGGCATTCTCTCAAAGACTCGGTTTTTGAGACATCCTGGGCAAGATAGCCGCTTCACGAATCCCGTTTCATCATCTTGCGAGTTGATGTCCAGGTCTTTCTTGCAATGTTGTTCGTGGCTTGCGGAGTGTATAAAAAGAACCAAGACACAGACATATAGTTAAAAATGTCTGATTATAAGAGAAGGAAAAGACAAGTTTATGCACGCAACTGTACTGTAAGATGCAGAGTGTATGACCATGCAAAAGTTCTAGGTAGCTATGAACAATGGGGATAGAAACTTGTTGGGACTAAGAGCAGAAAAGCCGAAGGGTCACTTTGTAGGGTGGTTTCTGTTTTGATCCGGTCGAATGGTGTAGGACCTGTATAGGAGTCTGGTGGAAGCCCCAAGTTCTAAAGCAGCTGTGCTGCTTTGTCAAGCAAGCTTTGTGCTGGCGCTCACATGTCGAGCTTGGTCGCACAGTACCAATTTCTCAGAGAAGCGGCTGACGCATGGGTAGTTTTCTGGGAGTAGGGGGCACTCGATATTGCCTTTGCTTATATTTCAAGTGTTTCAAACGGGGTGGGCACTTGTTGCGACATTGATGCGTGCTCGGTATGTTACGGTATCCAGTCAAAAAAAGGACCACAATATTACAAGACCGGGGAAATAAGCTAGAGTTCTCAAGTTCAAGTGTTAACCCATCAGAGACTGGTTTCTTTTTATTTCAGTGGAGCTGCGTTTATATTTTAAAAATTGTTTCACCTAAATCACGGATACAGAAGAAATCACCCATTGCATGCTCTTAGTTTTTGAAATATGGCCTCTGACATATGGTGACGCTGGCCCCTTGGGGTAAACAAAGATGTGTGAACTGAGGATATTTTATTTCAACCTCGAAAATAGAAAAAAAAATCACTTTAGCGGGCAGTTTGCCACTGTTGGGTATTTAGACGCAGTTAGACACAGTTAGAACAGTTGGAAATTGTTACAATAGGGCATGAAACATGCTACGCACATGCCAACGTCGCACTTTGTGGTGTGTGCGCATGGTAGTTCACGGTTGTCTTCAGCGCACCTATGCCTGGAGTGGGTCATTTGATTGTATCGCACACCTCCAGATGCACTGTCATCGTGTGCCCATCTTTCTTTCCTCGATTGGGGAGGAAATGGCTGCGCCTGCTTTACCAAAAAATCTTGCGCTTGATGAAATGTCACCCAAGAAGGACATGAAACTGCAGGTACAAACTGCTTTCCCCGGAGCTGTGCTGAATGATGGCGTTGACAATAGCCGCATCTCGGATGAAGTAGAAGTGCGGCTCCACCACCTCTTCGACCTTCTCTCTAGAGGGTAAGCGTTATGCTTTTGATCAAAACGATCTACTTCCCCTATCCACGCATTGTAGTCTTCCACAACAATGGGATACTTCACGGGTAGTTTTTGTCGAGTTGCCGTCATCCTCTCTACATCCACCTGCTCCTCCGTCTGGTTCGTGGTGGTTGGATTTAGGCAAACATTCTTACTGTCCCGCCATTGGTAGGCCGTGACATCATTTTTCTTGTGCCAGATGTAGCCACCTTTGTTCATCTTGTCAACCTTGACCTCATTGGGTAGGTCTGTGCCGTCACGTAGCTGCTAAAGCAAACTTGTATAACTAAAAAAACAAAAAAAAAAAAACAAAAAAACGCTGACTACCAGGGTGTACAATTCCTTCAGACAGACAGCACAATATGCTCCCAGAGAGTTCTGTTTTTTGGACGATCTTAGTTTTCTCCTTGGTACAACTGAAACCTACAAGGTAGCTAGCATTTGAGTCCGCCAGGCACCAGACTTTGAAGTCCCGCTTTATTTTTGGCTTCATTGGCATGTACCGTGTTTGCACGATTCTAGCACGCCCCCGACTGTAACGTGCAGGTAAATTTAGCTCTGAATAGTTTTAAGAATAATTTGATGCCGATTGTATCGCACAGGTAAAATAATGAGTGCTGAACACCACATCCGTGAAAGACACACATGAAACCCACCCACACGCACTAACAAAACAGCCACACTAGTCGCCGTCGGAGTCCGACGTAAGTTTCAAAATCTCGCCCTCGGTTCCGTCAATGGCGTTGAAAAGGTCACACTTTTGAAAGGAACGTACGACCATCGCCCGCAGGAGTGCTTTCCAGGCGTCGTGTACCCATTGCTCCAGGGCCCGTTTGCTCGAAGCTGGTTAACTAACCGCGGTTAACCGGATTTCCCTACGACGGGGAATTTTGGGTCACGTGACCGGCAGAGTAAGGACGGCGGGGAAACATGGCGGTGCCCCGGTGAGTGAGCTCCGCTCGCTTTGGAACTAATACGTCGCAGTAGCTGCAGTAGCGGGCGCGTTAGTCAGCAATGAATGGTGCAGGAGGTTTTCGCGCTGCATTACCTCACTTAAAACGCAAAACATGAGCAATGACCTCGCCGCATTTTTTAGATAGACTTTCGACTCTGACCATTCCTAAGCCTAAATGAACGCGATAGTTGTCGGCATGGCAACGTTTTTGGAAAGTGGATTGCCTTGACTCAATCGGCCGGGTATTGATAGCACACAGAAGCATGGAGCGTTCCCATAGACCTCTTGCTAAATTTCAAAAGCACCGAGGTGCATGCTACGAGTGTAGTTACACGCGCTGCACCTGCTGGCGTCTGCAGTAATAACTGTTCTGAAGCAAAAAGCCTAAAACAAATGTTGCCGTGCACGGGCGTTCGTCAACGATTTATTATGATTATTTACTTCAAATCTTTTATAAGTGGAAGGCCAGCGCGCGCGGATCATAGAATTACACTTCCAGCGTTCTTCTCGATGTTCGGGTAATTTAATAGGTCAATTTTCAGTGGAGCCAAGTTACAGGTTTTTCAATTTATGAGTTCTTACATGCTGGCCAACCATGCTGCCGGTGTACCGCCCGCCTTTCACTGCTCACTTCTTTCTCATCGTTTTTAGGACTCAACTTCGTCGTCCTCTTTCGAAGTCGGAAGGAAATTTCAACGAGGCTTTTCTGCACTTCATACAGCCAAATATTTAGAAAATTTCCAAACAAGGGTTAATTTAGTTTTACCTTGCCAATTATTTGTACCGCGAGCAATAAAAATGGTTTCTTAAGCTCAAATGTATGCCACGCTGCGTCGCGAAAACCAGGCAGCGCGCATTTTTTGGGTCCCCCCATTTCGGGAACCTTTCCACAGAAGCCACTTATATTCGCTACAGCCAGTAGGTGACACCAGCCACCGCCCCATAATAAAACACGGAGCTATCGCTCATCCAGCCCTCTTCAAACTTGGCTAGGTACTTGTAGGTACCTAGTAGGGAAGGTCGGTTAACTTTTAACCGCGGTTAGAGTTAACCGGCTTCGAGCAAACGGGCCCAGGTCGTCGAGCGTTGCTTTCTTCAGACGCCCTGCTGGCGTCAGTGTGTGCTCGTATGCAGTGAGCCACTCGTTGTACGCTGCACGCACATAGTCCTTCGTTGGTTTGTTTAAGCACACGTCCAGTGGCTGCAGTTGAGACGTCATCCCGCCGGGGATGATCACCAATGTGGGGGAGCATTTTGCAAGTTTGTCCTTGACACGCTGGCTGATGTGGCATCTGAACAAGTCTAGAACCAGCATAGAAAGCACTCTCAAGTCGGCTCCAGCCCTCTTTCGCCGTACGGCGTCAATCCAGTCGATCATAAGGTCGGTGTCCATCCATCTTTTGGGGTGCATCTGAACAATGACATTTTCTGGGAACTTAACATTGGTAGGCAAAGTCTTCCTTTCAGAAATCAAAAAAGGGTTCATCTTGCGCCCATCTGCCATGCATCCTAACGTCGCCGTAATCAGTTTTTTTGTTACCTGCTTGGCTCCTCTTGTTCGACCGTGTAATTCGAAGGCATGTCGAAAAACATGGGTGTTAGGTCTGCGTTTCGGATCTGTCCTATCATGTGGCCCCTATATTGTCGAAGCTTGATCATAAAACATTGGAACATGACAAACTTCGCTTCATAAGGTTTCTGGAGCTTCTGACAAATGCTCGCCTTTCGTTGCAGCGAAAATCCTTTTTGCCGCATGAACTTGGTGATCCAGCTCCTACTCGCTTGGAATCAAGAGCGGCGGATCTTGTAACCTGTAGCAAGTGCGAAAGAATTGGCCTTGATGACGTCCGAAGAGGCGGGTAGTTGCGCCAATCCTGCACGCACGTTTCCGGGATGCCCAGTGATCGTGACGCTGCTTGATTACCTTCCTTTCCAGCAAGGATGATCACTTTCTGTTTGAATGATACCTCGTAATGAAATCGCTTCTGTTTCTCCATCTTGCAACGATCGCATCAGCAGCAGCTTGGCTCAAGCTTGCGGTGACACGAGACAGCACGGCGCTTGGCCAATACGAAAGTGAACATTGTGGTACGTGATTATGTGACTGAATACGTGATTATCTGTCTGATAAATGGGAAGAAAGAAAGCGCTGCACACTTTGTAACGGGCGGTAGCATGCGTCACCTAGCCGATATTTTTAGACTTACTTTTACTTCAAATTTTTATTGGGCCCAATTGTAGCGCGCATGTCATTTTGAGCCTGAAATTTCTGGAAAGAAAGTGTGCTTTAGAATCGTGCAAACACGGTACTGCTCTAGTGTTGATCTTCCTTTGAAAAGGATCATGCTCTCGTCTACGGCAAGATGGGATGATGGTTGGCACTCGCTTTCAAACTTTTATTTCATCATATGAATCAGTGGACGCATTTTGTAGCAGCGATCATTGTCTTCCGCATCCCCGCTGTCATGAGTGTTGTCGTTTAGATTCGGACAGTTTGTTATTTTTTGGAATCTCTCGCACGAAATCGCTTGCGAGATCTCCTTCACGTTTTACAGGCTGTCCGAACTCTAATAAAGATGAAGATGGTGCATGGGGTCTCTACTCGTAAGGACGAGCATTCTGACCTATGCTCTCAGTTCTTCGGGCGTGATAGGGGTCCTAGTCTGTTCTTCTCGTTTGACTTGCATACAAGTTGGTCCGGACTGTAATGTGACCGATAACGTCTTCAGAAAAATAAAGTTGGAATGCGTCCAGTGGCATGCTGCCCTCTGAAGGCTTTGTTGTGAAGGCCACACTCCTTCGGCAACTGCACCATCTTCTGCAGCGACTGATTTGTCAGTCGAGATGCGACGCTTCTTGGGGCTGACCGTGAAGTCTTTTCGGGGCTTGCCTTTTCTGATTTTGCGTCCCTGGGGTCACTTGCTTCTCCTCGATGCTCTCTTCGGCGTCAAGGTCGGACGGCGCTTTGTGGTCGGATTCTTCCCATTCATTTTTACGGTCATCAGCGTTATCTGGTAGACTAAGATATAAATCGAGAGCTTCCTCAATTGTCAGTTTCTTTTGTTTTCCTGCACAAGAATGTGGCAAACAAGTGTTAATAAATTAGAACACAAACTCTTATTAAAGAGCGCTGTTACATCTAGTTATGGTGTCACTCAGAAGACTTCAGCTTTGGCGTTCTATACTACTAAAATCTGTGAGTTCATTTATTTTCCGTACCAATAAAAAAAAAAAGGAACTAGATAAGGGGTGTTCCAAAGATACCAGGGACGTAAACAGTTAATTGGGGAGTGTGTTCTAACACCGTAAAATAAAGCAGCACAGAACTATTTCTTTGAGTGAAGCTTAGGATTCTTCATTCAAAAACTGCTCCAATTTGGGGGTTTTCGGTTTTCTGCGACACTGACAGAACTGGACCGCAGGTCAATTTTGCAGGGTTTACCGGTGCTCCGATAAACCCGCAAAAGTATGGAATCCTAATTATAAAGGACATGACAAACCGGCGAATCTTTGGACCTGCCTCCAAGAATAGCCAATCGCTTAAATGAAAGAGGAGAGTGAGAAAAGGGTAATTACACAGGAGCCACTTGCAAACATGCTTATCGAAGGCAGTTGTTAAATAAAATGTATGTCTTCATGCTACAGTATGTCTTCCATCTCGGCATCAGCAGGCATCCCAGGCTGTCTATTTTCTGCGGGGGTTGCGGTCTCTCCAGGGCAATACATTTCCGCAAGGATCTCTGCATATTGAGAAAAACACCAAGTGACAGAATAAAAGCTATGCAGTTTTGTGCAATATTTCTCGTAGGTAGAAAATTTGAAATAGCTTTCAGCTCATCATGCCCAAGTCCCGTTAGAGTGACAAACAAAAATAAACAACAGCGACAAGCGATACCTTTGGCAGTCATTTAGTTGTCCGGTGCTCTCAAAGTAAGCACGGGTCATCGCAAGCCGGCCAAAGATACCCTCGCGTGCATGGTGCTCGTGTTTGAGGCGCGACGGTGTCGGTTGTTTCCGTTAGTCGCTTTGCCGTGACTCGGGCATTAGAGTCTGTCTGGAAAGCTGCACTCTATATGAACACCTACCTCCTGGCACGGAAGTGGGGGCTCCTTCACTCCAGTTTGTAGACATGGTGTTGTGTGAGGCTCCTTTTGTCTTGGGACAAACCAGGGTTCTGCCACGTCATCGTTACAATGCATACAAAATACGGCACAATCTGCAGTGCCCTTTGTTGTCCAAAACATTCTGTGCCTACCATCTGCACAGATTTGACCATCGGGGAACCCCAGGAACTTGAAAAGAACCCACGTGGGAGGCTGGACATCCTCCTCGCCAGCTTTACTCTTGCCTTTCGCCGCTCTCGTCTCTTAACATAGCGGTTGCGGATGGCCTTCCACATTCTGTGACATTCGATCACCTCCAAGCCTGAAACCGGGAACCTCATCAGGATGGTACGAACAAATAACAATAATTACAATCAAACGTTACGAAGGAATAAACAGCATTGACTTTACGGGTTGGAATCGCAAAGTCGACCTGCTCGTGCATCCTACAAAAGCGCAATGTTCACTACGGAAGTACCTGCGGAAACGTCTCGAGCATCTTCGAAGGATGTTCGTTCGATAAATGTGTGGGCTTCGAACATGTCTGCAGTCAGTTCTTGAGTGACCAATATGACCATCATGGAAGGAAAAGCCTCAGACAGTGTCCCTGAAGACCGTCTCTTGACCAATCGGGATTAGCAGTGTGATCGCAACTTAAGAGTATGTCACTGAAACATCTCGTCATTATGGTAGGTGCACGTGCCACCTCCCTTGCATCCAGTGGTGTAGCCAAGGAGGAGGCTATCACTTTGCCGCCAATGCACCAGCGGCTCCAAAGTTGGTCCTGTGTCGCTGTGTCGCCGTCGTCCATGTGCCAGGGACTGGAGTCGGCAGCTGTAGTGATTCGGAGCTCGAGGGCTCTGCGGGATGTTGCCGCCAATTGCGGCGCCGGACTCCACGTCCGTACAAAAGCGTTCAATTTTTGTACGTTAGCCACGGATGTTCTGATAAAATAAATCGACGTGACCCATCTCTTTTCACTGGACATGGGGGCTCCTTCCGAGACGTGCAGGAGGTCGTTCCTTTGGCTGCCTCTTAAAGCTTTGAGGGAAGGTTTTGGCAACACTGCAGAATTGGCGAGTTCCTCGATATTGTCGGCAGGCACGGACATAGTAATAATAGTTTTATTTGACACGAATTCAGAGATGTGATTCAAGTACGGCCCCGTCCAAACGAAGTAGGGCTCATGAGTCAGAACCCGGCAGGTGAGTGTCAAAAAAGTGTACTCGGTTGTTAGTGGCCCGACTAACGGGGGAAAGCGAAAAGTTGCGAGGTAATGGGAGAGTTTTACGTATATCATTGTAACTCTTTTACTGCCTTCCACTCATGCGCTAGTAAAATTTAAACAACATTCAAAAGTGCAATTTTTCTTTGACTTCACTTTTGTGAAGTCGCAACTAGTATGAAACTGGAAAAGGATATGGGTGACGACATAAAACTGTAAGTACTCCAAAATATTGTAACTGAATATCGCATAGGATGCTGCAAAAAGTCATCGGTGCAGATTGGCATATTGAAGTTTTTAATACTATAATTTCCAACAGCAAATTAGTGGCCTACGAACAAAATGAGCCTGTTTGTGTTGAGTGTAATACAACTGTCCAAAAAACCTTCAGCAGCGACTAAATAGCGTCATTGGTTACGACTTTAATAATATAAAGACACGTTCAATTACTTCATGGCCACATCCCTCCAAAATGCATACTATGGTTTAGGAGCGTATGAATTAGTTTTCTAAAAATCTGTCAAAACAGGGTTCATAACGGAACTTCCATGTTTATAATTAATACACAATAAAAGTTATTGAACAAAAGGTAAGGGTGCAAACGAGCTGGTGTTGGTTTAACATTTTGACTACCGTAAAATACCGGGCAAGCGCCCAATCAAATTTTGGAGATAATCGCAAAAAAATGGTGGATGAGTGCTTGTCCAGTCATCAATTTTACATATAAATGTGCGCATATTTCTCAGATCTTGCAAATTCGGTAATGGGCGCTTAATGTGAAATGGGCGGATGCATGGTATTCTACGGTAAAAATCTCGAGACTGGGAAGAGAATGGATGGACAAACACAAGACCTTGTGTTTTTCCATCCCTTCCCAGTCTTGAGTCAAAATGTATAAAAATTATGCTTGCTTCAAAGCACTATTTTTTGCAAAAGAATATAAAAAATACCTGAGCCATTAACGTAATTGTGGCCGAAACAAATAGATATGTGTAAAACACATTTCTATTCACGCACGAGGGTCACACAATGCAACCGCTTTTCTGGATAGTCTGTAGTAAAGAATTACAGGACTGTTTATTAACTAGGTCCCATTTGTAATTTGTGGTGCATGGAGAGATGTCATTATTTCCGTGCTTACTTGACTGCAAAAAAAAAAGGTAGCTTTTTTGTTAAAAAAATTTTACTTGATGTAATTTAGGTTTATTTTATTTAAATAAGATTTATTTCATATAAATTGGATTATATTTAGCGGATTGGGACACAGCGCACAAGAAACGAAGATGGAGTAGAAGGGTGTACACAGGACAAGCGATTACTCTCAACTGAAGATTTTATTGAAAAGAAAAGGAGTTGAGTAATGCGGATTCTTGGGCGAGTTGGTACTGAAACTTGGAGAACATAATAGCGCTTCACGACTGGGACGAAGAGTAGGAATGAGACAACACAATGCACCAACTTCAACTGGTTCGTTAGAAAATCAAGGGTATAAATACTCTGCATCATCGCGCCCTTCAACCAATCCCATGCCACGCCACTGATCTCAAGAACTGTGTCTCTTTGTCGCCCAAATCGATCGACGCCACGCTGACACATCGATCTCCGTAGTTTTTTTATCAGGTCTGCCTCTATAATTTTGCTTACTGTATTATCTCTGTTTTCTAATAACAGTGCACAAATTAAATTCAGGTTTGCACCCACAGTCATGGAAGTGCATCGACAAATGACCGTCACGTTTTCTAGCCTGCTCACTAGACATAAAGAATTTATACTATTCCCTTCCGCACGACAAACTACTGACCTGCGTAGAGGAAAGCATCGATAAACACGGGGTGGTGGCCTTTCAGAACGCAGCAGGAATGACTGTAGATGACTTTCTCGAATTGCTTACATTTGATCTAAACTCGACCTTTGTTGAGTGGAACAGGGGAGTGTATATTCAGAAGCGAGGGGTGTGTATTTGCTAGTGTTTAGCTCCAGTTTTACGTGATATATTTTTAGCCCATCATGACAGAGTTCTCTCGGAATGCCTGAATGACTTTAATGGTAGCAAGGTTTTTAGATTCGTCGACAATTATTTAGTTTTTCTTCACCATGATGTTTCTCACTTTTCCTTGGTGGTGAACAGCCTTTTAACAGTTTTTAGTACCATCCTTGATCCTCTCAAGCTTACGCACGAGGTACTTGTGGACAACGTCATACAGTTTCTAGATATCAGGCTCACACTTTTGGAACAACACGTGTGTTGGAAATACCAACCAAGAGCAGATAAGCCCCTGTTGCCGTTCAATTCATCTCATTTGAAACTTGTTAAGAGAGGAATTGTAAATTTGTGCTTTGTGAACTCCATCAGAAGGTTGTGTCATCATGCAATGCCTTAAAGTCTGAAGGAGCAGTCAGAACGCTTGGTGGCTGCCGGTTTTCCAGGGACGCTCCTGGTGTCGGCTGCAAAAAAAGTTGTAAGAAGCTACGAGTAGTAGCGAGTCCAGACCAAGATGTGGCTCAAAAGAAACAAAGTCTGGCGGTTGTGCCTTACATGCACAAAACCGCACGCAATATCAAAAAGATAGCAAACCACGTAAATGCTCGGGTGGTTCTTTCTGCACCGGAAAAACTTGCCAAGTTGTGCAAAATGACGGACCCTCACCGCAAACCACCGGTTGGCTGCGTGAAGAAGCATCGCAGCTTGTTTGTAGAATGCGCAGCGAGAGTCGTCCATCAGATCTCGCTGACGTGCGGTAAAAAGTATGTGGGACAGACGGGAAGATGTCTAAATGACAGATTGCGCGAACACAACCAAAAAGCGAGCGGACAGCTTGACGATCATTTGTCAATGCACTGCCTTGACTGTGGGTGCAAACCTGAATTTAATTTGTGCACTGTTATTAGAAAACATAAAGATAAGGCGGTAAGGAAAAGTTTTACACATGCACACGCCCTAAATTTTTACACATGCAGAAATCAAGAGGGGGGTCAGGACATCCGGACCTCCCCTCTGAATCCGTTCCTGGCTGAAACTACCGTTTGCAATTCGACATTGGAAGCAATTGCCAAACTTGTGGTTCCTTAGCAAATCTCAAATTGTTTTGCAGCCATACAAATCCCAATATTGACCAGTAGATGGGCGATATGGGACAGGCACGTCAGAAGCCACCTCTCTTCTCATTTGTGTGTTGGCAAGAAGTTGTCACTGAAATATTGCCTGACCGTAGACTGCAAAACGGATTTAATTTTGTTTCGTTAGTTGATAATGAACGATAATAGTCAACAGCCGAGAATGATCTCGCTCTCACCCATGACCAAAATAGGAGCCCTGAAGGTAATTTTGGCCACCAACTGGTTGACGTCAACTTAGCCAGCTTGTCTGCACTCCGAATAAAGACCGGTAGCTACGAAAATGAAATAAAAAGTGAGTTTCAGACGCTATTCTTTTTTGTCGCCGATGGCTGGAGCACATGAGGTAAATCTTGACGCGAAAGAAATCAAGTGACCTCGAGAACACTTCCTCCGCACATAGAATAACGTGGGGCAAACATCTGTCAACATGGCATCTAGCTTAGTGTGTGGGAGGAATCAAGATGCTTCCTTTCGTAACAACAGTCAGGCATTCTTTCACAATGTCCTTGACCTTCATTTTACTTTACCACAAGACTCTGTAGGAGAAAGCAGGTGATCCCAAATCGGTTCTAGATTTTCTTACCGTGTAAGCAAACTTGCCTCTGGGCTCAAGCCTCATTTTTCAACGTCTGCTGCCGCTGCAGAAGTGGACGCCACTCCCCCCGCAACAGGGAGCACTTTGGTGCTGATGGAAGAGAGTAAAAATGTTTTAAACTCAGACCCGATATCAACTGTGCTTGTTCTTAGCAGTAAGTGATGTAGCATATTACCGTCGGTGCTGAATCTGGCCCTTAAGGAAGGCCAGTTACTTGAAGAGGTGCCATGTTGGCACGGCAAGACCATCGCGGCCAGCACCGCTCCGGCCTCTTTGTTTCTTCGATTCTCTCGCATACTTGGCCCTCATGGCCAGCCAAGCCTGACAGCAGGCGTTAGAGTCGCTGCCTGAAGTGAATGAAGTAAATGTGGCATAAATAACTAAAGTATCGCTTATGAATACAAGTTTTAGAACAGAAATCATGATGGAACTAGATTTATAACACAACTTCAATTAGGACAGCCAATAGGTGCAACAGACATGCACCAGGTTTGCTTGCCAGTATTCAACCCAAACTTTACAAACCTCCTTCAGCATCTTGAAATGTAGTCTTTTTATGTTCTGCCTGTTTGATCTCTTCATTACTGATCGCTCGATTAATAATGGCTTCCCATTTCGTGCCATGACTTTGGGAAATGGTTATGCGAGGTACGCAAACGAGAGGTGCGAGCAGTGGGTTGTGGGTGGGTGTGCGCTGCCCACTCGGACGTGAATGGTCACAGACAGCTGCAGGGAGGCCGCATCTGTGGCTCCGAGGCAAACCGCCGGCCCAAAGAATCGAATCCCCAGTTGGTGGGTTGGAATCCTAGCTGGAGAGAAGGTGCCAGGTAACCGAGATTTCAGTTTCACGTTCAAAGAATCCCAGGTGATGTAAATTAATCGCTGAGGTATGCGACGGCCTTCCTTGATTTGGCATGCAGAACTTCGCAAACGTTTCTTTGCGAATGGCAGGGAAGTCTATTGGCACTATCGCCTCCGGCGTGACCCAAAACAAATCTTTGATAACACTTTGGCGTCTTGCGAGCTTCGAGTGTACGCCCAGGCGCGTGCAGCTGACCGTGAACGGGAACGTTCATGCATAGTGAAAGTTAGACAGAAGGCAACAAGCGTGCGATGAAGGCAGGCCGTCCAGAGGTGCCCTGGGTTGAGGCGCAAATTATATAGTTCTGTTAAGAGGTCATACTCACAGAAAGCGATTCCAATTGCCTTCCAGGAATTTTTGCGCTTCCCAGTGTCCCTGTAGTCCATACGGCTTGCGTTCCATAGCCATGGACACCGCTCAATTTCGATGATGAGTGCTTCTGAGCAAGGAGCCACTGGAGGAGCTGCCATGTTGTCAACGGAGAACAGACTCATGACTGGCATACAACGCCTTGATTCGTGATTGGTCTGTTCCCATACTGTGATATTTAGTCAGACCTGTGTATACAAAAAGTACAAGGGACAAAAACGGATCCATTATGCTTTGTACCATGCACATCTAGCATGCAAATTACGAATTCAGAACCAATGAATACTTTCGTGAAACTTTCATTTGCATTTAATTTTTTTATGTTATTGTACTGCGCAATTATTCTTTTGTTTCTGAAGAAAGCCTGTGTTATGGGGACTAGCCGAGAAACCAAAGTAAAAAAAAGTCATAAATTTATATTTTGATAACTGACGCTGGCTTTAGTGTTTTAAAGGAAACCTGGTAAGCGGGAGGTAGATGCACAACAAAAATAACCTGAAAAGTTTGAAGTTGCTTGTATAAAGTGAAGCAGAGTAATAGCGAAACAATTCGAGTCATTGGGTGGCATTGAGCCATGGCGTTGATGCAAAATGCGCTGCAAAAATCGACACCTGCAATATACCCACATTTTCATCGAACGTGTATTGTATAGGGAGACGCATTCTTGTGAAATCTCTCGGTGTAGTTGACTCGTTCCTGTAAAAATTTAGAACATCTTCACCGAGGGCAATGACGAAAAGGTTAGCAGATAATTTTCGGTCGTGTTTGGTGCTCCGGACGAGAGATGGTGCCACCTTTCTGTTTGGAATGTCAAGAAGGAAAGAGGGGAGGGGAGAGCCCTCCCTCCCTCTTTCCTTGACGGTCGCCCGACCTCCCATCCCGGTAATCATCTTCCGATGATGGCCTGCAGTGCTTTGTCATTCTTGTTTATTTTCGCAGTTATGGTTGCTGCAAATATATCCCATGGTTGAACGTTAGGAAAGTACAATACTTCTGGCTAGTGAAAATCAATTACAACAAACTCCCATGAAACTGAACACACTTAAACTGAATTCATGGATACGTGGAACAAAGTTGGAATGTTTGGTTGGTTTCCTGTAGATTCTATGCAGAAAAAGCTTGCTTAACACAAACCACTTCGCATGCCCATTTGTTGGTTCAAACGTTTGCAGCATAGTGCACATTCTGTGCAACTTCCCTTAGTGGGGAAGCTGCTGAGGCTGCCGCACAATGTCTCCTACCCTGGGACGACGGAACGGGAGTTTGTAGGAGAGAGAATATTGGTGTTGACAGCAGTGGCAGAGGATTACCCACATTTCCTGCCATATTGCCGCCACGCTCATAGCCGAAGACAAATGTAGTCAAAGCTCTCGAGATAGACAGTCGTGTCAGTCGTGTTGTATAATCTTACTCTATAGCAGTGGCTCTCAACGAGGTGTGTGTTGTGGACCACAAATGCTGTAGCAACGTTCACAATTTTTGCCTTGCCATCTGACGATGGTTACATCGCCCTTTCTCTCGCCTTTTGCATCGAGGCTCTATCGTCCTTCTCGCCTTATTTCGTTTTCACTTTTCAGTACACATCCCTGCAGCCTGTATGCGCGGATAGCACTGACGGCCCAGATACTGACGGCATTGAGTTCTCGGAGTAGTGGAAGTAATGTATAGTAGTTGTCAAAGAAACACTTAAAGTTCCTGAACTTTGGCAAGTGTTTCATGAGCCTCATCACAATGGAGCCACCGATTTTGAGGTGCTTGTGCTCGAGCGATTTCCCCATTTCTTTTCCCTGATACAGCTTGAAGTCACTTTGCCATAGTATGTGAGCTGCAGCGGACAAACACTGACACCTCCAGGGTTAGGTTTGTTTTTGCAGAAATCGCTTGGCCGCAACTCTACTTATGAAAGGGATCATCTGCTCATCAATGCTGTTGTTCTCGAATGTAGTAAGTTCCAGATACCTCTGTCTGACAGCATCCAGCACGGGGTGCACCTTCCAAAACTTATCAGTTAGAGCCCGGGGCGAAGATGTCTCCGTGCCGTGCAAAGCTGACCGGAGCTTGAAAAATCTGTTGACCCCCATCGCCTCCGATACGCTGGGGATCTGCGTTGCCGGCTGCCAGTACATACGTATGCGGGGAAACTTGGGCGTCCCCATGATCATCATCATCCCGAAGAATGCTTTAACATCCTCCGGAGTGTTTCCGAGATTTGTTTCCCGAGGTGTGCAGTCCGTAAATGTTCATGCACCCCGCAAACTATACGAATGGTGAGTTAAGAAAATACCTTCGAAAGTATTCCCATGGCTCAGCCACCTCCTCTAAAGTCATGTGGTTGTCATCCAATGTTGTGTCAGGGGGCTCGAAATCGCTGCTTGTCCAAACAGTCTGCACCTTTTGATTACGCGCTTCCTCCGCTTCATCATTTTCCTCTGGAGCAGGAGCCGGCTGTTGCAGCCCTGAAGGCCTGCCTCGTGTTCCAGGGGGTTGACCTAAGTGACAAAAGGCATTCTCTTTAACTTAGCTAAGCAGTTAACAATGTCATCCAAATATTTAAAGCGCCTGTACTCGCAGATCGATGAGGCTCTCTGTCCTCCTTAACAGAGAGGCCGACATCGGATGCATTTCCATCGGAAATTTGCATTAGCAACCTCTGTGCTGTGGCACTGCCGACCCTCGTGCGATTTCTCGCATGATTTCGGATGTCTGAATTGGGAAGAAGCAACACATTGTCACTAGAATATATGAATTTCCAATGAAAAGCTCCTTGCAAGAATGCTAACGGCACTATAGCACTAATGTTTTCTTCGAAGAACATTTTTGCACAATGTGGCCATAGCGGCACGCTGTACGTGGGGGGATCGGTGGCCGAGTGGGCTAAAGCGCATACCCAGCTCGACGCGCGTGGAGCGAAAGATCGCGCTGCAGAACCCAGGGATCCTGGGTTCGAGCCCCACCCCTGCCCGTTTCGATCTGGATGAGCATCGTACCGGCGTGCGGTCGTGTATCACTACTGCGTGGCGCACGTTAAAGACCCCAGGTTAGCAGTCGTACTGCACTGGCGAAATTGCTCATCTACAGTGTAAACCAGTGTCGCCTGATCCTGGCAGACCGACCTTACACTGTATAAATCACTAAACGTCCAATTTTTGACACATGTGTTTGCGAAATTCACTAATCCGTTAGAGAAGCAATTACTGCATCCTAACATTTCAAGCTACTGTGTTACATTCATTAGCATCTTTGGAATGCTTAGGCATGCAGCAAGTCTCGTCAGAAAACATCCAATTAAGCAAAGATTTGTTCTTCGGAGCCACTCGCCACCCGCGTCGCTGTAGAACAAGGAGGCATCCATCTTGCAACGGTGTTATTAATTGTAGTTAAAGGCAGCCACGGCAGATGGCGCCACCAACCCGCTCCATAAGCTGTACACGATCGTGTACAACCTGTCTCCAGCGGTACAGGCCCACATCTAAAGAGTAAATAAATTTGCAAAGTCGAATACACAAATGTGTATGCCATGTCTAGAGCCCTGCTCGGATAACAGTTTGATTATGCGCATCCGATCTGCATCTGCAGACTTTGGATCCGCATCCGAACCGCATCCTCAAACTTTTTACATTATTGTATCCAACCCGCATCCGCATACTTTGTACCCGTATCCGAACCACATCCACAAAATGTGGAACCACATCCGACTCACAATCCAAGTATTCATTGTATAACAAAACACCAAGCGTGAATGAAAAAAAAAATACAAATAGCACTTTTTAAGCTGTTTGCTTATCTTTGTACAAAGAAATTTTTGTGTGACCATTCAAAGGGGATGTCATTTTATCATTATCAGTTTCATTGTAATTATATTAAAAGCGATCAGCCTTCCCGAGACACTGTGCGTCGAAAAAAAAAAATTATCTGAGTTATGTGATTGTCAAACAGGATAGTTGGGCGAATTGGTATGTATTCATAATGGAACAGCGCGAATTTTACAGGGATAGAGGAAGGAACTGGACAGGACGAGCGCTGACTAACAACTAAAAGGTTTATTATCAGGAAATCACGAAGGAAACGTACAACAACACGACTCTCCAATCACGATGGAAATGCGCATGCGCCTCACAAGATTGGGTGCTATCTGTTACACAATTCTATGTGCGTCATCCCCGATCTAAACATTCGACCTCACTGTCGAGCAAATTCAAGGAAGCCTGACTCACGCAGGCTGGCCCCTCCTCCTTTATTCTATGAGCTTCGACAATCAAGCTTTTTGGTCCCTGTGTTTATACAAAACAATGGCCTTGTCAAGTAACGGTGTACAGGCGCAGTCCCTGCAGTGTAACGCCAAGTGGGAGCTTCCTGTTTCTGTTAAAGAACTCCGGTGCACCCGCAGGCAAATGTTGAGGCACTGCCCCGTCTGTCCGATAAATACCTTCCCGCACGTGTTTTGGAATCGGTCGTTAGTCAGCGCTCGTCCTGTCGTTCCGTCAAACAATTAAAAAGTAAGAGAGGTTCATAGTCGTCCGGCTACGGCGCAGTTGGACGAATATTAACTACCAGACTTTTTGGCTAGGACTCTAAGCATACAAAAAAGAAACACACAGGCAGTTCATGGGCTTCCTATGTGCGTGCGCTGTTGATTCCGAAAGTTTACAAACCGTGGCACCACAGGGTCGCGCTCGCCGTCGGGGCACTTGTTTTGTTTTTGGAATCATGACCACACTACTCTTTGCGGAGAGGGGGAGGTCTCTTCTACTTTCTTTTGACTTTTACGTTTGAGGTTTTCTTTTCCCAAAGAAAGTTTTCCGCTCTTTCCCTGCCAGTGTGCTAGCTTTCTGGAGACGATTGCCACCATGTATTCTTTACTTTGTTAGGAGAGGCATGCAGTTCCATGCCTCACCACAAGATGGCGCCACGGCGCATCGCGAGGACGCCTTCCGCGGGACTCTAGAGATGGCGCACGGGATGCGGTGGCTCTGGGGGAGAGCGGGGAGAAAAGGACGGACGCAGGATGGCGAGCGGAGCGCGCGGTGCAGCGCGAGTGGCGCGAGTGCTCCGGAATAAAGCAGTTCCGGTTATGAGCGTGCCTTTGTTCTGAACCCGAAAGCGGAGCTAGCGTGGAAGCTCGCTGGGCCCTGACAAGTGGGGGCTCGTCCTCTGAACTCGAACTACCCTGCTAGACCAACGGCAAGTCCTGCGAGGCAGTTTTACGTCCTCATCTCGCCAGCACGCCGACATGAGCACGAACAACGTGGTCAGCGAACTGCTGGCCCAGACGGACGGCAGTGCCATGGACCGGGAGCGATTGTCTTCGTGTGTGCGGGACGTGCTCCTGAACACACCGTTACAACAGGACACCGATGCGCGCACGCAGGAGCCGACGCCTTGGAAGTGCGGTAACATCCAGTTGCCGAAATTCATCGGCTATGAGGACAGGCAGAGCCCGACGGACTTCCTCGACAAGTTCGAGAATTTCTGCCTGGTTACGGGCGTTCCGGACAGCAAGCGCGTCCGGCAGGTCCTCCCGGCCGCACTGGAGGGCACAGCGAAGCTTTGGTGGCGCTTTGCGGGAGGCTTCGAAGACTGGGAGACCTTCGTGAAGGAGTTCCACGCC